TGAGCTGAACTATGCAAAGCAGAGGACCAAACACAGTTTTTACCCACTTTACTCCCCTCCCCCCAGGTCACAGTCAACACATGAAGCCCACAGATGTAAATGCATCTCTGAAGGGCTAGCTAAGGCTAGAAGTATGCCCAACTTCTGGGTGTTGTGTGACAAGACCTTTCCTGGGGGAATACAACATACACATCTACTCACCCTAGATAGGGGACCCATGAGAGACCAAGGTACAGACAGCACCAAGGTCCAACTTGGTGGACCAATGAGTTTGATTGGGGTTATAGGAAAATGGGTGAGGGGTTACTTACAGGAACAGAAATGACTCAAAGCTGCACCATCAACACTCACCCCAGCATGGCTGACAGCTCACAAAGCTGGGAACCCCGAGTATACAGCCCAGCCCAGAGCCTGCAGGCATCGCAACAGATTGGAGAGAGAGTCCTTTCCAGGTGGTTCCGTTGTTACACACCTCTTCCAGGCCCCTCTGCTGGTCTCTGCTTCTTTAAGCAGCGTGGGTGGTCTGTCTTCTTTGTTACTTGGCTTGTTTGAGAGTAGCACTTTGCACCTTCTTATTGCTTACCCTGGGAGGTAGGGGGGTCTAGTGAGTCTGGTCAGTTTCAGGGACTTCCCCAAGCTATTTTGAATTGTTTATCTTCTGGCTTAGGAAGCTCCCCTGCAGGGTGAAATGTTTCAGTCTCAGGAGGAAGCTTATACAAAGTTAGGCATTGTTCTCTTACCGCTACAGGCTGTGGGCCTCAGGCCTGGGGTTAAATCCCGGGAAGGCCCGTACAGATCAGCCTTGCAGTCTTCTCTCTGCTCTGAGTTGGAGCTGTGGCCAGGAGACTGAGGCCTGCTTTAAGGAGGAACTGTCCAGCCATAGAGCAACTTTCTGTAGTGTGCGTGGATGCTTCTTGTCCTCTAGACTCCAATGATTAGCGAGGCTGACATACCAGGCTTGGGGCAGTGCTACCCCAATGAGAACTCTTACCTCTTCTAAGATTTTGGGCTGCCAGGGTGGGCTCAGACAGAAGGGACCTGAGCGAGGTCCCATCACATATGTGGAAACTCCCTTCTGCTGCGGATGATAAAGAGGGCCTTGTGCCAGGTGGAATGCAGCTTAGATCTCAGGGGTACGCTGGAGTGTGAGTCTAAGGTGTGACAAATGAGTGTGTGTGTGGTGTCCCTGGAGCTAGCATTTGGTCTGCTCCTGGGCGCTGTGAGTAGAAGGCACTGGCCATGCACCAGGTATTGTTCCTTGGTGCACCACATGGGCTAATCCATTTAAGCCTGTTCACACCTCAGAAGCAAGGCCCTTAGCACCGCACCATATGGGGGAAGGTGCCTGTACGGTTGCATGGATCGTCAGCAGTGGAGGCTGCGCCCTGACAGATGGGCCTTGGTGTCTGCAATGTTGCATCGTTTTTGAGTCTGCCTGGATGTCCTTGAGGACAGTGATAGGCTTGTGTCCCTGGAGGCTGGTGCAGGCCCAATGCCTGGTAGTTGATCAGGGGCTGGAGAGGAGGAAGAGGAGGAGAGGAGAAGGAGGAGGGGAGGGAGAAGAGTGATGGGGCAGGGGTTTAGGCAGGCCCTCTGCTGGCATCTGGGGCCTCCTGTCCTGTCCCTGTACCCACCCCAGCCCGCTGGGATCCCATCTGTACCTGTCACCCATGGGTGCTCCCTGCCTCCTGAAGCTCAGCAGTCCCCTTGTCCAAATCCATTTTTCCACCAGACAAACGAGGGCTGGGCCCGCCTTCCCGTTCAATCCTACAGGCTGGCTGTCAGCTGCCGTGGCATCTGCTCTTGTCAGAAAAATTAAGCAGGAAGCAAGAGACGCCACAGCCCCAGAGTTGCCAGCTCAGCCGAGACTCCAGACTGACTTCTTCTGGGAAGGGACAGGGAAGCTGCCCAGGGCCAGCGGGGACACAGATCCCCACTGATCCATTTGCTCTCTTCCCTTAAGAGGGACGGGTGCTTAACAGTGTGGTTTTGTGATCCAACTCCTGGGCTGAGACCCAGCTCTGAATTGACCTGTTGTGTGTTTATTTGGATCTCACTCTAACCTCTCTGTGCCTTAGTTTTCTGTACTATAAAGTAAGGATACCTCTGTGTGGATTAAGTGAATTTTTACTAGCAAAGTGCTTAGAACAAAGCAAGTACCTGTGTGAGGAATGCAGCTGACAGTTTACTGAGGTCATCCTTTCCCCAGGGGGTTGAGTATGGATGAAAAACCCTGCGCATGACTCATACAGAGCCCTAGTGGTAGGGGGACCCACAAGAGAAGGCTTCTGTTTTCTACAGTCCTGTTTCCTCTGCCCTGAGGACTCCCAGTGTGGGGTGGGGGGTGGGGGGTAGGGGGTGGAGTGTGGGGTGAGGGTGAAAGGTGGGAATGGGGTGGGGTGGGGTGGGGTGGGATGGGGGGGTGTTGAGGCATAATGGGAGACTTGCTCTAAGTAGGTACTTCAGGAAGGAGAGGCACAGGAGGAGCATGGTGGCTGGTGGGAGAGCTTTCTAGAAGGCCAGGTGAGGCTGGAATTGGCAGGAGGGTACAGAGGTGTGAAGTACCCTCCCTTTGTTTTTTAAGGTAGGATCTCACCATGTAGTCTTAGTTGTTTTGGAACTCACTATGTAGATAAATCCACAGAGACACTTGCTCCTACTCCTGAGTGGGCCACCACCACCCAGAGAGACCTTTGTTTTTAGAGCAGAGTGTCCCCACATAGCTCTGGATGGTCTGGATGGTCTGGAACTCACTATGTAGGTCTAGCCCTCCTTGATTCTTCTGCCTCTGTCTCCTAAGTGCTGGGGTTACAGGCATGAGCTCTCATTCCCAGCTGTTCTCCTTGAACATTTGTCTTGTTATGTTGCCCAGGTTGCCCTCAACAATCCTGGGCTCAAGTAATGCCTCCTAAGTATTTGTCGCTGTGGGTCTGCCACCAAGCCCAACTAAGGCCTTCTCCGAGGGACTCCAACACCCAGCTTGCAGGCTGAGCACCACAGGCTCTGTCCAGCAGGGGGCAGCCGCGGTGCGTGGATGTGCGTCCGCTTTGCTGCTTTCCTTGGTACTTAGAGAAGAGTCTAGGTGGTGAGGAAGTTAGACCAGGGTATCCACGGCTGGAGCGCCACCATCACATCTCAGGATCAGTTCTGCCAAACTAAGGACGCCCACAAGAGCAGGGGTCTTCAGTCATTCTCAGTCCTGGGACAGTGTTAGAAATCACGCTGGCAGTGCTAATAATCTCCGGAACCGATGCCCTTCCCAAATCACTGTCAATTAGTCTCTGGAGGCGGGGCCCAGGAACCCCACTTGCAAAAATCTCCTCAGACTGCTAAGCAAGCAACCTGATCGCCAGGATTTGAGACTGAGCAGAAGGATACCAGGGCACCGTTTCTGTCCTGTGCGGGAAGTCCTGGGTGGTTGATGGTCCCAGGAATGGGCAGGGTTAATTTGGAGGGTGAGAGGTGATGGGATGGACAGCACACAAAGGAGGGGGGAGTTCTCAAGGGGGATGGAGCATGTGAGTTCTTAAGCTTGTGTGCATGGGCATCCTTTGAGGGTTCAGGGTGACTACATGTATGCGCACACATTTTTCTAGCCTGTACAGGGGGTGCATACACTTGTTGGTACAGGAGAGATGATAATACCCAGAGCTGCTGAATGACTCCTGTGCTCATAGGCATGTATACATGTGTGTAAACATACATGTGTTTGGCATGTGTATCTGCACTCATGCAAGCACACATACACACAGAGCTGTGCTTTCCCCTGGCTCACATGTTCCGCAGCGTGTGGCTATCTCAGGGTGCCCGCACGCCCTGTATCTGTGGGTCTTTTCAAGCCGCAGCAGATGTGGAAGCTGTGCTGTTTGAAGGTGTTTCCCTTTCTTCTCTCATCCAGAATGAGAGAGATGCCTCCCTAGTACAGCCTCCCCACAGACCATGCACAGGTGGATCTGTGTCGACAGAGTCAAGTGTGGGCTTAGAAAAATCCACAGCCCTCCAGGCACGATTGCTTCAGCCAGCCTCTAGGTGGGCAGCTGGCCCTGCTGGTTGCAACCTCCTCACTGCTGGTGCAGTTGGTACCAGGTATTGGATACCCACCTAGCCAGGCTCATCCAGTTGGAAAGGGTGTGTCCCCAAGCTATGCAGAGCTGGATGGGGACACAGAATTCCTAGACAGACCAGCTATTGGATGGCTCTTGTCATCACTATTCTTCTAATATTTGTTAAATATTTATTTAACAGAGAGGATAAAGGTGATGTTCTGCTAGTGAAAGTGGTGTATGTGCTCACTGGACCAATGGCTGATTGCATGGGCTGAGTGTGACACACACACCTTGGCTTATTCAGTTTCCTTTGAGATCAGAGTTCAGTTGTTTAGAGGATTGGTGGTGCACCATCTTCATTGTCACCCTGGTGGGATTTGGAATCACCTGAGAGACACACGTCTGGTAGGGTGTTTCCTGAGAGGGTTGACTGAGCAAGGAAGATCCTCCCCGCCCCAGCCCCTGAATGTGGGCAGCATCATCTCACTGGCTAGGATTCCAGGCTGAATGAAAAGGAGAAAGTAGGGCTGGAGAGATGGCTCATCAGTTAAGGAAGTGCACTGCTCTGGTAGAGGACCCAGATTTGGTTTCTAGCACCTACATGGGACAGCTCATGCCTGTAATTCTAGCTCCAGGGGAACTAAATGCCCTTTTCTGGCCTCTGAGACCACGTGCACAATTCCCACCCAGCACATATTCATGTAATTATGGAGAAAGTTCTCCGAGTGGTACTTGTCTCTTTGTATCATGGGTGTAAATGCTGTGTGAGCCTACACTCCATAGCCTTGCCATCACGCTTTTGTTACCACAGTGGGACATGTCCCCTTAAATCATGCAAGACTAAGGACTTTCTTTCTTCCTTCCTTCCTTTTTTCTTTCTTTTTTCCTTCTTTGTTTCTTTCTTTCTTTCTTTTCTTTTTTCCTCCCTCTCTCTCTCTTTCTCACTGTGTCAACAAAAATATGGACTGCTTCTTCATGAATTTGTGTGGCATCCTTGCACAGGGGCCATGCTAATCTTTGTAGCTTTCCATTTTTAGTATCTGTGCTGTTGAAGTGATCACAGCCCTTCTTCCTTTAAGTTGCTTCTGGTGAAGTATTTTATCACAGCAAGGAGAAATATAACTAATATAGCTTTGACCGTCATTTAGGATGGAGGCAACCTACACCACTACAGAGAACTTACAAGGCTACAGAGAACTTGTCCATGGACAGGACCCTGCCAGAGTCTGTCTGGGCTGAGAACTCTGGCTCTCTGTAAGAGAAGTAAATATGCCTTTTGGTGAGGTTAAGCACACACCACCCCTAGACACATGGCGTTGGATGGGACTTCAGTACCAGGCCACAGATGGGGGAGGGTTTGTGCCCATCTGTCCATAAGCCGTGAGGCAGGCCAGTTCACAGGAGTGAATGTGTGGGCATGCTGATATGTGATGTTTTATCTGATGTTTGTATGTTGTGTGGTATGGTGGTACAGGAAATGTGAGATGGGTGCCCGAGTAAGCTTGTGGTACCCAGGGTGCTGGGTGGGGTGGGAATGAGCTTGGGTGGAATATATTTCTTTTGGAGAGGGGGGAGATGGGCTTATGTGTGAACTGGGGCTGATGGGTGGCACAGTGTAGGTGAGGCAGGCACTCCAGTGTTATCCAGTGTGTGTGTGTGTGTGTGTGTGCGCGCGCGTGCGTGTGTGTGCTGGCATTCCTGAAGGCTGGCTCAAGGCTTCAGCATTCTGATCAAGGTTTTGCATTCATGGGAAGGCCTCCCTCCCCAAAGCCCCACCCAGCCTCAGGCTGCATGGATGAGGGCAAGCTGGGCTGTCATGATGATGCTGTTTCAACTACACTGCCCTGGGGATGAGAGGCTAACAGGGTCCGGTTTGTGAGCTTGTCCTGTAAGTAGGAAGGATGCTTGGTTGGTAGTTTGCACTGGAGCTTTGTCAGGAGTCTTGTGACCTCTGACAAGCCTGCCTTGTGACCTTGGTCTAGGTTTACCATGAAGGTCAATTCAGCACAGGAGGCCAACTGCTGCCTTCTGCTCTATGCTCACTTCTTTCGACCCCTAAGGTTAGGCTAGCTCTTTCCTGTACCTCAGCCCATTGGCCCTTGTCACCCAGCTGGGCCAGCCCTCTACCTCTCTTTGTAGGAAGGCTGGCTCAGTGCCAACTTCCAGCTTCCACTGAGGTGATGGCTAGTGTGTGTCCCCACCATATTGTAGTTCCTTTATGAGTCTCAGGGAGTGTTGGGGGAGCTTGGTATCAAGAATCTGTCTTAACTTCTGTGTGACCTACCTCGGCAGATTCCCAGTGCTCGCACACACCGCTGGACATGGAGAGGGTGATGTGTTCTCTGTCTGATGTCTAGGCTACTGGCCTGAGTCTTTCTTGGTAGATAGATGCAGCTTGTTGTAGCAGATGCTCACCCTTAGGATTAGGTTGAGCATCCTGGCAGGAAAGGTAAAAATCACAAAGAAAGAGATGCAATTCCTTTTAAAAAGACCTTTCACTCTGTAGCTCAGGCTGACCTTGAACTTGTGACTTTCTTTGTTCAGCCCCTAAGTGCTGAGTTATAGTCATATACCCATCTGCCTGATTTAAGGAGGATCTTTATGGTTTCCAGGCCCTAGGAGATATGGAAATCCCAAGCAGAGGGCACTACCATCTGTCCTCTGACAGGCTCCCCAGCTCAGCTTAGTATGCTGGTGGACTTGGATTTGGGGGACTTGGAATGTGGGTGTGGTGCAGTGGTTCTTGTTGAACAATGGTCATGATGAACACAGCCTCCTCACATGTTTGGTGCACGTGTGTGTGTGTGTGTGTGTGTGTGTGTGTATTCATGTTTGCATGCACATGCACCCATGTGTGGTACTGGGGATGGACTCCAGGACCTCACAGAAGCTGTATTGCCAGCTCTCTCTCCCCCTGTACTGTGGCTGTGTGTGTGGTGGGGAGATATATAGAGGGAAGAAGGCAGTAAATAAGGTCACCCCTCTAGAAGCCAAGATTGTTGAGAGAGTGACAGTCAACTTTTAGTGGATCCTAGCTGCCAAGTTCCATAGACTCTGTCCATCACACTGTGGAACTGTAGTCCCTTCACATCCCCAGAGCACCCTTCATCACCTTTGTGAAGTTGTGCTACTTTTGTTTATGCTGTATTTGTTTAATTATGAAAAGATGTGTTACATTTGTTTCACCTGGCCTGCCTAAGGCACTTGATTGGTCCAATAAGAAGCTGAACAGCCAGGCAGGAGAAAGGATAGATGGGGCTGATGGGCAAAGAGAATAAATAGGAGGAGAAATCTAGCAAGAGAAGAGAAGGAATAAGAGAAGGAGGAGGAGAATGAGGGAGATGCCTGGGGCTAGAAGCCAGGCAGCCATCAGCCAGCCAGACATAGAGACAGCAAGAAAGTAAGAAAAGGTAAAAAGTCCTGAGGCAAATTGTAGATGAAGAGAAACAGGTTAAGTTATAAGAGCTGGCAAGAAAAGAGCTAAGCGAAGGCTGAGCATTCAAAATGAATAATAAGTCTCCGTGTCATGATTTTTTGGGAGCTGGTTGGTGGCCCAAAAGAAAACAGCCTGGTACAAGGGACTTGTTCATGGTTTCATGATGGTGATTGGGTGCACAAGGTCTGACACCTGAGCTTTAGCTCTTAGGCAATGAGTGCTTGCTGAGGATACTGAGTCCTTGAGGACAGTAAGAGCTGGGGATGCAGAGTCCTTGGATAGTAGAAAGACCATAATAAGCATTAGTATCATGCAAGGGGAGTGCCCACCATCAGCAGCGTCTGCCTAGGAGGCTTCAGAACAGAATGAAGTTGAATTTGGATGGAGGCTCCTCAGAAACTAAAAATTGAGCTATTATATGACCCAGCTGTACTACCCCTGGGTGTATTCCTGAAGATCTCTAAGTGCAACCTCAGAGAGACATATCAACGCCAGGAAGGGAAGCACATCGTGTTTATTGCAGAGCTATTCACAAAAGCCAAGACCCAGAAGCAGCCTCAGGATCTGTCAACAGATGAATGAAGAAAGAAATGCCCATCTGCTCGTGCATACACACATGTTTTCTTTATTGTAAAGAAGATGAAATTATATAAGATGCAGGTGTGGTGGTTTGAAAAAAAATGGCCCCCAAAGGGAGTGGCACTATAGGAGGTGTGGTCCTGTTGGAGTGGGTGTGGTCTTGTTGGAGTGGGTGTGGTCTTGTTGGAGGAAGGAGTCTTTGTGTGGGAAGGCTTTAAAGTCTCATATATGCTTAAGCTACGTCCAGTGAGACAGATGGTTTCCTGTTGCCTTCCAGTCAAGATGTAGGACTCTCAGCTACTTCTCCAGCACCATGTCTGCCTGGACACCATCATGTTGTGCTATGATAATAATGGACTAAACCTCTGAAAATGTAAGGCACCCCAATTAAATGCTTTTCCTTTGTTAAGAGTTGCTGTGGTCATGGTGTCTCTTCACAGCAATAGAAACCATAACTAAGACAACAGGGAAATGGAAGGAACTGGATAGCATCATGTAAGTGAAACAAGCCAGACTCAGAAAGACAGACATTTTATATTTTCTCTTGAATGAGAAATCTAGACTCAAATATAAGTCTGTATATGGCATAGAAGTAGAAGGTTGACTCTAAGCAGGAAGCAAAGATCTGAAGGGGGAGGGAGAGAGGAACAAGAGAGGGTAGTAGGGAAGAAAGACAATATATATATATTTTTCTCATTAGAAGAATTTAGATTTAAATACACACATATGTGTGAAAGCAAAAGGGGACTCTGGGAGAGGAAGGGGACAGTGAGGTTGCAGGTGAGGGAGAGTCATAGAGTAAATGGCAAGATACTATGACAGATATGCATGAACATGTCATAATGAAGCCCATTATTTGAATCGAAACTTGGTATTGAATACTTGTAAACCAGCACTTGGGAAGAAGAGGCAGGAGGACCAGGAGTTCAGGGCCCGCCTCAGCTACATGGCAAGCTTGAGGGCAGCCTCAGCTACATGGGACACTATATTAAAACCCAAACCATTATTGTGTATGCTTCCTAAACAGATTAAGTATGCAATAAAAAACAACCAAATAGAAGGTTTTGTTACATGGGTCATACCCTCACTGACCTCAGCTGGCACTCATCGCCTCATTGGCTAGGGCAAAGGACACTGGATTTTGTCCAGTGAAACAGTCCTGGACTTGGCCTTTCCTTTCTCTGGCACTGAAATCGTGGGATGCTCAGATTGTGTGGCTGGCATCTTGGTAGGAGGCAGGCCTCTGGCCTGTCAGGTTTGGTTTGTGTATTCGGTTCCTGTTTATCCCTGCTTCTGATGCTCTTTGTTCTGCTCTGTGGAGGTTCTCAAGGAATGTTCTCTGAGCCAGGAGTCTCCGCCTACAGATTGAAGTGTGCTGGAAGCACTACACTGTTTTCTTCCTTTCATGTAGATTTCATTTGGGTTATGGAGTCCTTTCCTTCCTCTGGAGTGTGGATATAAGATAGATGAATGTGGGTGGGGCTTCTAGCCAGAGGCAGTGTGAAGAAGGGAGTGAGCAGGTGCCCTGAGGGATCGCTGGAGGTTCCTGGCAAGGAGGAGGAGGTAACAGGGACTCAGTGAGTTGGTGCCCTAGCAAGTCTGATGAATTCCTGAGCTGGGGCCTAATGTCCTTTCCTGCTAATATGTGGCCAGGATGCCTGTGCAGACAGATGTGCCCATCAGAGGCATCCTGGTCTATTCTTACCTCCTGGAGATTCCCTCCCCCCACACACACTGCCTCCCCTCTCCCCCCACCCCAGGGGCTTCTGTGAGGATCCCAGCCACAGACTGGATTCAATTCTGCTTGATTCTATCCAATCCAACAGTGTTAGAATGGGTGAGATCTGGAGTGACAGTGGCTCTGGCTCCCCGGGAGCGGGGGTTGGGGGGGCACAGATGGGTGGTTCTAGACTTAGTATTGCTGGGAACTCCAAGCAAGGATGTCTCACCAGACTGCTGACCTGTGAGACCACGTGAGGGGTCCATGTGAAGTGGGGGAAGCAAGTAAAGACAAGGGCTTCCAGGCTGATGAGAGGTAGTGGACCA